GTCACAGTAAGCCACTGTACAATACAATTGTTCCTGTTTAGACGGGGGAAATTCCATTTTTCTGCTAAAATTACACGTTTTAATTTATGAGACGGTGTAATTGGTTGGCAGCGCCGAACGTGCAGTAACAGAAGCAGTGAATCATAGAAAAGTACCACTATCGTAATGGAATGAAATCTCCTCGAATAAAAATGCACATTGGTTCCCAAAATAAGCTTTTCCCCTCATTAAGTCCATCCACAACTAGCCTTCTTTCCATTGATCAAATAATAACTCCTTAGTTATACTGTATTTGCTTTAGTGGTCCACTTTATACACATTTAATTATTGCTGTCTAGTAAGGACATCATTTAGCATGAAGACACTAACTATAAGAGCTGATGAGTAGGGCCTACCTACACATTGAAAAAGGGTTGGCAAATTTGCACATAAAAGTCACGAAATGTTGCGCTCGATACCCTAATTTTAAAAAGTCAAATGATTTCTATTGTCTAAAAATGGAACTGGCAAGAAAGTTTACAATTTTGTTAGTAATCCTTGTGAGGCGGTTGGTTCTTTTTCAGTGGAAAAAGATACAAATTTAAGAAACGGAAAAGCAAAGCGGCATTTGTTTCCTTAGATTGCTGAAATGTTTAATTTCATTCATACGAAGAAGTAAAAGGCTCTGACACCGATGTAAATAAACCAGTTTCCCTGACAGAGGAGGCGTGTAATTAAATTTAGGGGATCATTATTGCTCTGTGCGGTTTGAATTTTTGCTGCATTGATTCAGATTCTAGGTCAGTTTACATCAGTTTCAAGTTTGCATTCATAGTGGTGGCCTATTTTACATTGCTTTCCTTGTGAAATTTTCTTTTATTTTTTTGTCGGTTATAATTATCTTTGTGGAGATATTGATCTCACACCTCAATTTTAACAGAATGTCCTCGAGGTCGTTTCGTGAGTTATGTTGCCATAAAAAGAGTAATTTTCACTCATAATACGGGCCATCTTTATGAGCAGATCCCTCGAGTCCCAGAATATACCAGTCTCCTTCGGTTGCGGAATATTTGGACTACATTTTGCAAATATGTACTAAAATTTCTTGCTCAGCTTAGAAACAACGTATACACCATTAGTCTCCCTATGCACATAAGTATTTTTACGGAGAAGGTGTTTAGATGGAAACTCCAGTAGTTTTAATTTATTTTATGGTATTAATTGAAACTGTTGGTGGTTTAATCCGGCTTTGGTCTTTAAGAATTCGTGTAATGTCTAATATAACCTCTGGTCATTAATTACTGGCTCAATTTAGAAACAACGTACACGCCATTAGTCTGCCTATCCACAAAAGCGTTTTTACGGATGAGCTAGAAATTGTAGTTCCCAATTACAAGATAATAACCATTTACCTGCTGCACAATGTCCGATGCATTGGTGACACTCTCCGATCTGGGGGTCTCGGCCGTCATGTCATCGCCCTCGTGGGTGACACTAGAACTATTCAACGCGAACACACACTGACACACGCACAGCAGAACTAGGGCTACGGAACTTTTGACCGCGACGAAAAATTGCATCGCACTTGGACGGCGGGCATCCGGAATCCACTTGGTCAAAACTTTAAGAACTTGAACTTTAAGAACTTGAACGCAAATATTTTAGAGCTGTGGTTGGCGGGAGCTCTGCTGGTGAGCACCTAGCGGTGGCCTAGGGGCGTCTTCGTCATTTTGGCGACGAATTTCCCGGAGCCGGATCCGGCGCCTCGAGGCATGTCCACTTTTGTGAAACGCTCCGCCTCCGAGGCCCGAGTTTTAAGCGGGCGGTGACGAATCGTTTTTCGCCCCGAGTCTCGGATATCGATCCATCGATCACCCACAATATCTGTCACCAGTTTCCTTGCATAACCGACACTTAGCAAAAAAATAAAAATCACCGAAAATCAATAGCAAAAAAAAATATAAATCACCGAAAACCATTGGCAAAAAAATATAAATAACCGAAAATCGTTAGCAAAAAAAATATAAATAACCGAAAATCATCAGCAAAAAAATATAAATCGCCGAAAATCATTAAAAAGGCAAAGATAGCATAATGGATGACAAAATGAAGTTTCAGGTGTGTGATCCGAATCTCGACAGCAACTCGAACCTAATTAGAAATCTCAAACAGAATCTCGACCTAAAGTGTACAGATGCTCAATCTGGAAACTTCAGAGATTCATATGACCTAAACTTCAGGTCCCACGCTCGAGGTTTTTTTTTCTCCGTGTTTGCTGCAGGGAGAGATAAACAATCAAGTGGATTTTCAAGAAATTACGTTGAATATTATATTTTTCCGAAGACAAAATAAATCATGACAGGAGGTCTGAAATGTCGAAAGCGCAATTACGTGGTTTCGCACTTTGGTCATTATACTGTGTCCGGCAATCCCTCAACGAAGGCTCGACTGTCATGGCAGTGCATTTTGCAGCTCGGAAATGCAAACTTAGCTGCAGCCAGCATACAGGAATTACCAGTCATTTTTACACATTATTACACAACAGTAAGTTAAAATATCCCGTGTGAAGTTTTGGTTTTTTGCTTTTAACGATTAACACGGGAGAGGAGCTGTAACCACCGCTTATGATGGGGGAGGAGGGGATGGCGGTAGTAGTGGTCGCAATCGTATCGATTGAGAAGTCTGCAATCGAAAAACGTAGGTGTTCGATTGCTCGATCGATCGGAGATTGAGGATAAGAAGCCTGGGATGACTTTGTAAAACAAACGGAGCTCCTTGAGGACTGGAAATGCCAGGCACTTGAAGAGTTGAAGATTACCGGTCTATTTACCATTTTCACGGGTTGGCACAGCCGGCTGCGCACTCGCGGGCGTCCCGCGTAAACTATTCTCTAATAATTCCACTTATTCTTAGTTTTATGAGTCGGGAGGCAGTCGCTAAATAATCAGATTATCATCATTATTCGCATGTTTTCACTCCGACCTGCTGCGCCGGCGCTGCGCTGTCCTGCTCCGGTAGATGGCTGAAATTTCCGCTGTTCTGGGCTTTTCCTTCTTGCGCTATGGAAAAAGGCGCGTCGATGCAGAGAAACAATATTTCAAAGATATTGCGATACAATGAAATGTACAAACCCTCTTCTACCATACTGCGGCCTCATGTGTGAACATTGTGCTTTCGGCATTTCTATGAGGTCACGGGTTCGATTCCCGGGCAGGTGACCCGAGTTTTATGGTCTCAAACAACGGTTATCTGGGGCTGACTTGATTCTAGCCGGAGGGGAGTGGGGCTTTCGGAATGGTAGAGCGCAAGATTATACCTCGTGGAATATTTGAAATGTAAAAAAAAAAAAAAAAAAAAAAAAAAAAAAAAAAAAATTTCAACGCTCTACTGTAGGTTAACTCATTTGTCAAGGAACTAAAATTGTACGGTTTTTAGTTGAAATGCAAATTCCAAATGTATGTTAAGAACTGAAATATTTTTGATCATTATTAGAGTGCCTCAAATTAACATGGCGGTGTCTTCTTTCCAAAATTACATTGCTTTGATATAGAAATTTATGAGACAATTTTCCAATAAAAGTTTATTTTTGGGACAACTTTGCAACTTTAATATTCAGTCACATGAAAAAAGAGTGTCTAAAATTTGATTGATATTACTTTCCCTGATTGACTGATTTAAAGTATTTTTCTCTGGCTAGATATTTCATACTTACCATGACCTTCGAGTAAACTTCTGGTTTTCTGGTTTTAGAATCATAGCTTGGAATGTACAATTGATCTTTAAATTGTTACTATATCGAACCGGAGAGGGGTTTGTATGCTGATATTTAAGATTACCCTCCATATTCACAGATTGTCACTGCATAACGAAGTTGCATGGTCGTCAACAGGGGAAGGAGGGGGTACGAAAAAAAGAAAACAAAAAAATCCAATTAGACCCAATAGTATTCACTGATTTTATTTTTTTCGTCTTTTTTTTGCAAACGTACCGAATATTTTATGGAGAAACTAACAAGCAGGGCATCAGGCATCAAAATTACACCTTTCTATGTCTTGAAAGTATGAGCGACTTAAAAGTCAAGAAATGGGCCGTTTCAAACTGGCCAAAGTAGAGTTCTTGCAAGTGTCAGAGATTTATAATTTAATTACTAATTCCTATGCCAAATTTTGCGAGTAACACAATGGTGCCACTGATTTTCTCTAAAATAAACTCCAAAGCTCAAAAAAGCTCTCAGAGTTGAGGCCGGAATGGAATTCTAAGCTACCCTGAGAGCTCTACTCTGTATCAAGTCAAACTCTCCATGGAAAGATAGGGAGCAAATACATTGACAGGGCTGCCGTGTTTTCAGTGTTGGAGTCCCCAAACAGAGTGGCATTCCTGTTAATGTAATTCCTCCCTATCTTTTCATACAGTGTTTGACTTGATATAGAGGTGGGCTGGGCTCTCTGGATAGCGCGAGATATTCCCTTCATCACGGTCTCAACTTTGGGAGCTTTTTTGTGCTTTGAAGTTTCTTTCAGAGAAAACCAGTGGCACCATCGCATTTTTCGTGAAATTTTGCATAGGAATCAGTACTTAAATTGTAAATTCCTGACACACGGAAGAGCTCTATTTGCCAATGGAAAGCTGATTAAAAGTAAACATAAGTAATTACACTTGCAGCTGACGCTAAATTCATAAGAAACGATTTTTAGCCATTTTTGAGATGAGGTGGATCTCCAAACTGAACGGTTCAATTCTCAATAAAGTAACAGGACAAGCGACTCACTCAATCGTTTGTTTATATCTGTCCCACAGCTCCGACTCTGTTATCACAGTAGATGGATAGATAGCTTCGATAATACGTGCCTTGAGCATCGCGACGCGACGACGACGTCTCAGCTGATGTTACACCATCAAATCTAGCCATCAAAATATCAAGTGATTGAATTATTCGATGACCTGGACCAATCACAGCGCTACTTTACCTTGATATTTTGTTGACATTAGCACTGGGCTGCTACAATGAAACGCGGCGCGACGTTTTGTTTTGTTGTGTGTACCTAGCTAATAAGCTCATTTGTTCGCGGATTCAGTCTTTGTGATCAGCTCAGCTAGTCATTGTTAAACTTGTTGCCGTGCAACTTATAAGTTTTAGTTTTTTTCCTCTTTCAAGTATTTAATTATTCACCTGTAGCTTATATCATCTACTGCACCATCACAGGCATTCGGTCAAGGAGAAGGCGTTACAGCTCTCTTTTAATTTAAATTCATTCAAGTCGAACGTTTATCGTTATTTTTCCTGTTACCTATAAGTTTCCATCTTTTGAAGGTGAGTTAAATCGATTCCAAATGTAGTCATTATTTTTCGTGAATTTTTGGTTTTTTAGTCGACGGTATTGAATGATTTCCCATTTTGTCCTCTCATTATTCATCTCTTTAAACTAACTGCTTTTTTATTAGATTAAGAAACTTCGTGAAGTTAGGAGTTTATAATATTCATTTTTTTTTCTTTATTTTTTCATATTGGTTTTTTTATAGATTCATGCTATTCATACCACCGGACACTTGTTCATTTATGATACTCATCTTTACACGGTTTGGAAGCAGTTCAAAGGAACTCTCTAATTTTTTCCGCAACTATCAATATTTTAGGATTGAGAAAATCACCGCACTGAAATAGAGGAATAATCGTTTTCTTCAGCTGTAAGAGCCAGTTTTGTCGTAAATTGCTGCACATAATTCTGCACCGCCTCTTATGTTTACTTGTAGTCCTTCGCATAGTCCCCTTAGTATATTCTTATTAAATTGCCTCGATTTTTCTTATTTTTTCTGTTCCTTTTAATTATGACCATCCAAATTTTACATACTAAAAATCATTCTGGTCAAAGCACGAACCAAAGCATGCATAAATTATTCAAAAAACTGTTCCTGGCAACAAATAAATATTTAATGTTCCGAAAACTAAGAACAGCTGTTAAAATTAAGCGAATTATTGTTGCTAAGTCCAAGAAACGTTTAACAGAAGCAAAGCCCAAAGGACCGGGTCTGAGGTCATACAAACGAAAACATAAACCGCTGCTTGTTCAACTAATGGAAAAACAACTAATTTGTAACGTATGCAATGAGCTCAAAGAGGGGTTGATTATTCTGCAAGCCCATCGAAAACGGAAGAATAACTTAGATTCCAATAATAATGCTATGTTATCGGAGCCCATTTTGCCTCCGAAAGCAATAATATTTAAGAAAGATTAACTTTTTTTGTAACAGCTATACAAACATTCTTAGTTCAGAATATCATAAAAAATCGTCTGTAAGCAGATTTTGCAACAGACAACTTACAGGCATGAAGGATGTTACATTTTCAAGTACTGTCCTTTTGGGTCCTTTCATCTAAAATGTTTGTAAATTTGAAGATTCATAGCTGAGAATTTGCAGTTGGGCGTGTAGCAATACTTAAACAAACATGTATTTGAACAAAGGGCTTTTTTACCTTAAAATTGAATTTTCACTTTTAGTTTTACTCGTGGATATTTTATTGCATTATTAAAGTTTATTTATTCCTAAGTCCTAAAGTTGTGAAAGTAGTTTTTATTTTAAAAAAAAATTCCAGCAGTGTTCTTAATCGGCAAGTTTTTTCCTTGTTGCGCTCTTAATAAACTTGTTCACTATAAATATGGGTTTGTCATTGCAAGAAAAAGGTTTCACTTAGAAGTATCTGGTTGCTTTAAGAAAAATATTTTTTGCGTAAAGAGAGGCCTTAATAACGCCAGGCGGAATTTAGAATATGATGGTGGAAGTCTCTTTTTCGTTCTTTAATTACTTTGGTAATGGCCAAAAATTGCATCAATTTTAGGTGACTTTTGTCATTGAAATTAAATTTTTTCTCGGCATTTTTTATAGCTATCTTGATGCAACGAGTAACTTCCTCAGTGCACCAGAAACTACCAAAAAGAGCTATGTGAAATAAAAAAACTCGATTTTTCACAGTGTTGACATTTTATGTCTATTTTAATGCATCTCTCGTCTTGTACATCTCTTTTGGGGAAGAGTAACGAAATTAAATATTTTGGTTTTGTAATGATATCTTCGTAAAGTTTTTGTGCTGCAATGTCTACTTCCATACTGTCTTTAAAGTTTGTCAATCACGAGCTATTTCAAACATTCAAGGGGGAAAACGTGTTGGGGTTATCCCCTAATTTTGTGGTACTACCCCAATTTGGTGGATGATATGGGCATTTCCTATTAATCGTGGTAGTGCTGCAACTCAAGTGTGGGTAGTACCGCAAAATTTGGGTGAGTAACCTAATTACTACTGAGAGTAATGGGGGTATACTATACCGCCATTAATTGGAAATGCCCGTATCATCCAAAAACTCCTAACTCTTTCTTCCGTGGTCATTTAACTTTACTTAAAGGGGGGGGGGGTGGTGAAAATGAAAATACGTAAAAACCCTCATCTAAAAGTAATTCCACAGATACTGTTTTCGCCAACACTGCAAAACATTGGCAGTCTCTTGATTCTGAAACATGGTGTCAAAAATCTATTCAATAGAAAATCACAAATATCCAATATTGGTTTGCAATAAATTGGACATATATATGCGCGAAATCCGATCATAAAATAAATTACACCGAAAAAAAAGTGAAATTTATTTAACATTCTTGATGTAAAAAAGTGTGCGAGAACTAAAATGCTGAATTACCCACCACAGCAATTAGTTTTACATTTCAGCATTCCTAAAGTGACTGTTGTAGCGGATAATTCAGAATTTATAAGCTCTCGCACTCTTTTTTTACATCCAGAATGTTGAATCAACTTCACTTTTTTTCGGTGTAAAATCAATTTTAAAAACTATTAAGGCCTAGTGAGCGAGTTCCGAACGACGCTAAATTGAAACTTTGTCTATTAATTTTGTTACGATCGGGACACAATAAAGCGCGTTCGAGAATCGGAACCGAGAAGGAGGAAAAATTGGAGGTGGGAGCCTTTTTCCCCGACGCGGTGGCCCACTTATTTATTTAGGAGGAGCGCGAAGTCGGCGTGCGCTGATTGCACTCCTGGTGCAAGTGATGCCGATCGTTTGAAAGTGCAGCAGAATCATAACCCCCATGTTTGAACAAGTCATTCGTCATTTTTGCAGCAGACGTCTGCACCTGAGCGCAGTCGAGCGCACTCGGCCGCGACCAACGGCGGGCCTTCAGGCACTTCTGCATCCAGCCTCCGCTCTTATTCTCGCGGTTGCCACCGTCGGGGAAAGCTGTGAAAAATCAACACATTTTGAGAGTAACTTAACACGGGACGGGAGGGTTAATGTACTGTAACTATTAGGAATGATAAATGAAAAGTCTTGTCTTTGCATGCATGTTGATTTTTACTTTGGTTGGAGGCCGTCCATACATTACGTACACGGAGAAAAAAACTTGTGCGTGGGACCCGAAGTTTAGGTCATATGGATCTCTGAATTTTTCAGATTGAGCATCTAAACACTTAAGGTCTAGCTGTCGAGGTTCGGATCACACATCTGAAACTTCAGTTCTTATATCTGAAGTACTTCGGTTTTCACATCCGAAAAACTTCGGTTCTCACATCTGAAGTACTTCAGATGTAAGAACTGAAGTTTCAGATGTCTGACCTGAACTTCGGCAGCTAGACCTTAAGTGTTCAGATGCTCAATCGGAAAACTTCAGAGATCCATATGACCTTTACTTTGGGTCCCACGCACGAAGTTTTTTTCTCCGTGTAACGCTCTGAGGGGGGGGGGGGAGGTCGAGGAGAGCATTGATACCATTCGGGAAAGCTGTAAAAAATCAACACATTTTGAGAGTAACTTAGCACGGGAGGGGAAATACTAAAAAAACTGTAAGAATTGATAAATGAAAAGTCTTGTGGAGATGAAGCTTCTAAGAAATATAGCGGGTTTTACACTTTCGGCAGACCAGCGAGTCCATCAGGGATGCTCTTGGAGTGCAATATATGCCAAGTGTACCAGTGTGAGAAGAAGGATGTTATGGAAGTTATTATGGGCATTTTTCAACTTCTATATCACGTAGGAATCGAAAAAAATTCGTTTGGTTCGTAGGATAGAACCCATGTTGAGCGGTGTAATCAGGCTTTACCCCCCCCCCCCCCNTATTGATGCATGACCTGATGTTAGGGGACGAAAAGACGGAAGGGCTCCACAACGCTAACAGTTTCCTAAACGAGTATTGCCCCAAAATTATGACAGTAGATTTGTGTAGGAAAGAGAGAGAGAGTGCACTAGAGACCAGCCAAATGGGAAAGACACAGCATGATCCAGATATCGCTATGCGGGAGAAACGCCGCTTCCCAAATGTGGGAAATTTCAAATTGCGCCACCCCCGATGGTTCCACCTCCACGGCAATTTCCCGAAAAATGATAACCTTATAGCTCCTTGATGACATCAACTTACAACAGCGCCAAGACTTGGTTTTTCGACTCGATAGATCGTTCAATCATTGGAGCCCCGTCACCAGAAACTGGGTTGAATATTAACCACCCCGTCGGATGAACAGGGAGGAACAGGCAGAGGACGATCGAAAACGTCACATTCATTAGACTTGGTTATCAAAATCAGCAAAATTCTAACCCTAGTGTTGGTGTCCGCCAAAAAACATCCCGTAATTCTGATGTCTGTAATTAACGGTAAGTCTCTTGCATAGTTAGTGATCGGTAGATATCCCGCCAAGCTAAAAATATAAGTATTATTTATTATCATAATTATTATATTACTTATTTTAAGTGAAAAAGTTGTCATTGAAAAATTAACAATGGCAAGACCTTTTGTTTAACCTTTAGATGTCCTAATATCTCGAGGAGCTACTTGAGGCTGTCAGAGCATACATGCAGAAATTTAAGGGGGAGCTGAACGTCTTCAGCCGAACATGGCAGCACTTCTAAAATTAATATTGATGATTCTGTTAATGTTAATACTGTTGAATTAATGAAAAAGGTTTGGAGTGTAAACATGAGAACCATCCATGACTTCTTCCTAGAACTACATCAAAATGCATTGGAGGGGTTGTAAAACGGAGAGACAGGCCGAAAGATGCAAGTGCTTTTGTTATTATACATACTTGCATCTAGATACACTGCTAACAAAATGTCTATTTTTGAGTCCTTTTCACAAGAACCGTCCACTAATTTTCTATTTTTTAATAATGCCATCAAATTACATTAAATTCGTGGATAGCACACTCGAGGTTGCAATGACCAGAAAATGATCATGAGTTATTTCATCCGTGACGTCAACCGCTGTCGCGATCGCGGTTGAAAAGCCGTGTCTACGCCTGCTGTCTTGTGTGTTCAAAAATTTCCTCACTGCTTCGCTTTTTGCTCGATCACAGTTTGAAGGAAAATCTAGTGACTTGCTCGCATTGACCAATTGAGCACTCTGAAAATGGGATCTCACACTCACGGTTACGACGGCAATCTTTCTACTCTGCACGTTGTTGAATATTATTAAAGTGAAAGCTGTAATATTGTTTTAAGTTCTAATATTTTCTACTAATTTGTGTAAAAAACCCCGTTTTTGCTTCGTTCAGTTTATATTTGTTACGTATTTTGTTAATATTTGAGTGATGTCTAGACAAAGTGTACGCGCACTCAATTTTACGGGGATGGAGAGAGAAAAAATAGTAGAGCTGGGGATGCACTATTATGATCTTCTTCATTTCCCGCTAAATAACGCCGTTGCAGTGACGGAAAATTAGAAGGGTATACCAGAGGATGGCAGAAGAAGTGAACAAGGTCGGCCTCAATTACAGAACTCTCTGACAATTTTTCAGCAGTTGTCTCGCAGTCCTTGGTATTTAGAATTATGAGAATACTGATCCGCAGGGATATTGAAAAAGCCGGTAGTTGTGCCTGATTTTGCTTTAGAATTGACGAGATATGAAATAACTAAAATAGGGGGGGGGGGTGTTGCACTTAAAATTTCAATGCCATGGAACGTGCCATTCCCAGACACAGTCATATGTTATAATCTGCGATGGAATAAATTGCGGAATAGCGATATCATTCTCGATTGTTAGTTCCGCATTACTTAGGGATGTTTCGTATTATTTAAGATTGCGGTATGAGCTACTTATGCATGTATTATGTTAATTGAATACGTGGTATTGAAATCTCGGAGAACACGTCATAACCTCTGAGTATAACTTTTTGCCGCATCTCTGATTGAAGGAGCAATAATGAGTGCATGCAGCAAATAAAGAGCCATGCACAAAAAGGGCCAAAACGGCCCGTTTTTGGACGGGACGTTGGGGGGGGGGGGNGGGGGGGGGGGGGGGGGGGGGGGGGGCAAAGTCCCCGATTTTCATCCATTTTTGCAGGTGTTTTAATGTCGAATTCCGGCTGTTACGAGGTACCAAATCTAGATATTGAAGCGCGGTTTGCGGTGATTTGTTCAGCTATTCCTGTAGTATTTTTCCACATCTCTCACAAAGCCCCAAATGGTTTTTTGGGGGCGGGGAGGGAGGGGCTGTATTCATACTATCATGACCGTTAGCGCATCTTACTGACATTACTTTGTTCTCTTCTCTCCGCGCCGCGGTCATGATGGTATTTTCTGTTGGGGATTTGTCTTCTTCTTTACATTTTACCAATTTTAATGTCCTCCATCCTCCCTCCCTTTCCCCCTTTTTACCCCCT